TCAATTTATAATTTCAATACAACATCATTTTGAAGATAATGAATGTATTATTCACTATCTTCTTCGACCAAAACACATGTTATTTTTTGTAATGTTTGTTTTCTTCTTCATTTGGCCGAAGTGATCTTTGTCTTTCCTCTCCAATTGGCTTTGTACTGGCCTCATCACCTTGGCACCTTGAAAAAACACCCTCCCACACATATCTATAGGTTATCCTCTCCTTTTTGTCTTGCCCCAAAACTTGCTACACACGAGTAGTAAAAATTGAGGAAAAAATGATAAGAAAAGAGTGTCCGGCATTTTTTGTTTTAATGGTAAGGGTTAGGATTCAAAATGAGATATCAAGGGTGAGGAATGGAGGAGAAAAAGGATAAATATTGGGTCCATATAGTGAGGAAGAGGTCTTGAGTCCTTTAAAAATCTAGGAGCTTTAGGTTTTGTCAAGGAGGGTTACCTAATTTTGGTAGTTTATAAACATAGAAGAGATTAGTTAAAAAGGAGAAGAAGAGGCACACAAGCTTGAAGGATTGTTCAAAGGACTTTTTATTCTTGAACATTGGAAACTTGGGAAATAAAAGAGAGGGAGGTGCTAAAGCTCCTACCATTATCTTCACACAAAGCTTGTTTCTAGTTCATAATGTGTTAGAGTAGAGAGGTTCCAATAATAATAATAATAAAAAAATAGGTTGTTGGTAAGGGTAAGAGGGAAACTCATGGGCTTTCTTCATTTAGAACACCTAAGGTATAGTTTCTTTCATTATTTTTTAGTGCCTTCTCTTTTCCTTTTATGCTTTTCATACAATAAGTTACAAACTTAAGGTTTACACAACTACTTTCCTTCGTTGAATCCATGTGACCGACATCACATGCCATTTTCCTTTGTTTGGTTGCGAGTTAGATCCCTTGGTTCGTCGCTTAGAGTTACCTTATAAAAAAAGATAGCTAGCCTTTTATTTTCCTTGTTTTGTTTTTCTTTTCGCCTTCGCATATGATCAAATAAGGATGAGAATATAAGGAATGGTATATTTAGATTTGATTTATACATAAATGAAAAAGAAGTTATAGTTATGTTATTTTGTCCAAATGGTCTACTTGATTTTGCCGTAATTTATTCATTGAACGATTCAACAAAAAAGGCTAAGAAGGAAGATCAAATAGCATGGGATGGGGTATAGTGTTTTGGCAAGTTATGGTTTATAAAGCTAGCAAATGGATGACTTAGGAGCAACTAGAATTGTTGCAATAAAGGAAAAAGGATAGGGAGAAGAAGAGGAAGGAGCTCGAGTCGGGAAGAAGAAAAAGAAAAAGGTTTTAGGCTTGGGTTTTAGCATTTAGGTAGGGTTGGGCTACAAGTCCGGGTTTGGTCGCGGAATACGGTGAAGCAAAGCAAAGACCTAAGAAGGCTTGAAGCAAAAATCTTGGTTGGGTTGGGTCTGCGATTATGGGCTAAAAGAAAAAAGTCTCAAAGGCTTGTTAGAGTGGGCATTGGGCCTTTGGATTTGGTCTTGGGTTTACATGGCAATGGGTTTCATTAGCTTAAGGCTAAGCTTTGTTTTGCCCAAGGGCTTGACCAATGGGTATCTAAATAATAATTTTTTTTTAGGGTTTATGTTCAAATTTTAATTTTTTTATGACAAGGCTTCCTTAATTATTTTGACCTAAATTTTTTATGTGTATTAGAAATGATCACCTTTAGTTTGTGTTTAAAATTTCATATTTTTTTAAGTTCATTTACTATTTATTTGGAATTTATTTAATATTCTACCTATTTGTCAATTATTTTGAATGTCTAAGATTTTAAGTATTTAACTCCCTGTTTGATTTTATTTTAATGCAAAAATTTTTAGAGTACATTTGTATGCCTATTTTTAGGTTGTGTGTCAAATTTCATAATTGTTTGAGTTAATCCTCTATTTATTTAGTATTTATCATTTTTTATCATCCATTTTAACTTTTAATGTGTTTTATTTTAGGAGCTGATTCTTTTTTAATTCTAGTATTTTTTATTATTTGAAATTCCTAGGATTTGTACATATACTTTTTCCATGTCTCGTGTTTCAATTTTTGTAATATTTAGAATTCATTTATCGGTTACTTGTAATTTATTCAATTATAATATATTTATTGTTTAATTACTCGTGATGAGGGATCGTCAAGTCTCTTAGATTTTAAGGACTAATGATGATCGTTCACCTAAGTCATCATGCTAAAAATATGTCTTCTTAGGATAATTAAGGAATTTAAGTTGATTTAATGAATATCTAATATCTTTAGTAATTAGGTTATTCCTCGACATGTTGGTCATATCAAAACATAATTGGATCTAATGTTAAATTGACGCGACTTCGATTTTGGGCTTGATGCCGGTTTAATACGACACCGTAAGTAAAAATAAAAAAAAATAATTTGACTCGGACAATAAACAAACTTGGAAATAAAATTAGGAGATAATTTGGCAAAGCGAATTCTTAAGGGATACATTTAAGGACTAAAGTAGATGTGACATATTTTCTCGAAAAGGATGCATTTGGGTGATCGTTTTCTTTCTAAAAGCATAACCAACTCCTTAACCACAATCTCTAAATCCATAGTTTTTTTTTAGATTACTTAGTTTCTTTTAATACTAGGTGACAATTCTAAAATATCTATTAACTAATTTCCCTACAAATAAATCATAAAATCTTAATAATTTTTATTTTTTGGAAGTCTCCTAAATGTCGAGTACGGACAAGTAAAAAAAATGAAGTTAGCCTATTTATCTCTCAAATCTTGACTAACCGCCTAGTAATACTATCATCCCAATTATGGTATAAGGATGAGTTATTCCCACATTGAATGCATATTAAGAGAAACCAACCTCTCTATAGACACATCCAAGGGTGTTTGTCAATAAGAACAAATTTTAACTCCTATTAAAAAAAATCATGTGAAACTGCCATTTGTGCACAAGAGTTTAGCCTTTTTTCTCTTAAAAGATCTAGTTAAGCTAGCTTTAGATTTGCTTCTAACTCTGTTTAAATCTACCATCTTTGATAAAAAAAGAAAAAGAAAAAGAAAAAAGAAATAAACTGAAAAGTTAAGGCTTATTATTGGAAAACATCATTAATTGTTGAAAAAATGGAAATGTTACGAAAATAATAGCTTCCTTAGCAAATTTTTTAGTTTAGTGCCTAATTTCACCTTAGAAAGATCAAAAGAACTCTTCTAAAATAATTTTTACATAAAAATTGCTAATGAACACTCCCATAATCTATTGAAGATGGCCTTTGTTAAAGACATAGAGAGGTAAAATAACATAATGGTGATATAGAAAACAATAAGGAAAATAAGAGTCTCTTTCCGTTATTTATAGGCTCAAACACATGAGCTTTCCTCCTAAATCACTTAAAATCCCAAGCTTACCTAGAAAGCCTAATTCAATATGGCCAGTTATGATCAACCATACATCTCATGCAATAAATGATGTGAACAAATTCTAGCAAGAATTGATAACTCTGAAGACCTAATTCTTTCATCTTCTCTAATTTTTCCATATATAGACAATTAATCTCTCCTAGAAAAATGCGAGATACCAAAGTGACATGTTATAAATGACTGCAACAAAGACTTTAGCTATGATAAGTCTAAGAAAAGTTGATCAAAACAATCTCTTAATAGATCCAAACACGATAAGTATCTCGTTGAATCTTGAAAACCAAATTAGTCTTTATTAAATAATATTTCCCAAAAATCGAAGGTCAACTAATATACCCGGATGATATATGTTATCATATAATTCAAGATAAGTCCTTATTTCCCCTTACCTAGACAAACTCCTCAAAAGATGGGACTCCATTTGAGTTATAAATAGGACTATAAACTCATAAAAAGACTTTTATAGGTGTTTCAAATAGTTTCACCATAAATAATATGCAATACAATTGGTCCTAATTCCATCAATAGGGAGGGGCAAGTCAAACATCTACCTAATGAGAGTATATAGCTAAGATTAAGGGGGTGTTTGATAACCTAATTAAGTAGCTTAAAAAATTAAGTTAAGCTACTTAATATAAAAATCTTGTTTAATAACTTAAATGATCTCATATTAAAATTTTAAATTCGAGTCAAAATCTACTTAATCGGATAAGTTAAAATTTTTAACTTATTACTTTTTGATTAACATGTTCGGTTGAAAGATTTTTAAAACTTTTCAAATATGACGATAAAGCCCTTATATATTTTTATAACTTTAGCTATACAAATCAACTTTAGCTATACAAACCAACTAAAAAACAATCTCTACAATTCTTATTGCCGAAACAATAAATACTTCCTGCATTACCAATGCTTTCATCCCATCAACATCAATAAACTACTAGGAATCTAAGATGCCAAGGTCTAAACTTATCGTAGGTAATTTTTCTTTCATTCCATTACAGATGATTTTTCCTTATATCCGTTAATATCTTAATTTTTTTTTCTTTTGTATATTTTTTTATAGAGAAATTGATTTTTTTTTTATAAATTGATCTGTTTTAATTTCTGGGTTTTGGTTAAAGATCGTAATTTAGATACATAACATCTTCTTTTTGTCGGATTGTGAAATATTTATTTGATCTATTGTTACTTTGATACATAAACTCCCAGTTTTGAATCTATAACTTTTAACGCCGGGTGGCTACGTCCTACTTGTGATCATTATTTATGGGCATTAATTGGATAAAAATTTCTGTTCTAGCGTTTCTCTTTGCTATTGTTTCTTGGTTGTGACTTTGTTCGACTTCCATTTAATAAATATAATATTTACTTTAATTAGCAGCTTAGTATAGGATAAATTACATCAAATTTCTCCAGCATATTTTTAAGGTTGTTCCAGCCTTAACCATGGAGACATTTTCATGATGAGCTAGAACCCAAATTTCCACCACCATTATTAACAGTGGCCATCCCATTATCATGCCAGTCAGAGGTATTGTTTCTTGAGTAGCCTCTATTGCAGTTGTTATCACCCCTTCCATTACCTAAGCCACCTCTGTTCCCATGCCTTCATCCATGCCCTCGTCCATGCCCATTACTGCTACGCTGATGATCCATTCCCTTCCCACCTTCCCAGCCACTCCAGTCGCTTTTCCTTCCTCTTCCACGCCCCTCATTATTGCACTAATGATCACTATTAGCGCTTCCACTACCATTGGTTCCAGTCCAACCACCAGTGTTACCTCTACCACCACTAGTGTTACCTCTGCCACCATTACTCCAATTTCCACCACCAGTACTATTAGTTCTGCTGCTACTCCATCCAATAGAGAAATTTTCCTTGCAAGCATTTTTACTCCCACTGTTATATTAGCTAGACCCATCACTTTTGTTGCCTTTAACCCCATCTTGAAAAATATTAGAAATAGCATAAACATTAGCATTCCCTGGCAACACAAATTTCCTCATAAACTTACCAACCCTACTTTCCATTCGCACATGCTACGATCTTTATTTTTCCTCCGTATGATTCCTCTCTCCACTAATAACCAGCACATTGTCATCCTCCACTTGAACCTTGATGTCCCTTGACTCTAATCCTGGCATATCAACGATGAACGCATAAGAGTTAGGATACTCTTTCACATTAGATGCGTTTCTGACAATAAAGAACAAAAACTCTTAACAAAAAATTTCAAAAATTAAGATATTCAGGGGAAGAAAAGTAGCAGAAACATTGAATTAAGAGACCCACATCATATATGCTCCTCTTCAAGCTATGTAGACCTCAATACTCTTAGGCTTGTAACAGTCAAACCCCATCTTGACAAACAACAGAAATAGCATCAATATTAGGATTCTAGCAACATAGGTTTCTTCTTTTTCTCGTCAGAATCGAACGCCTAGACAAACTCAATCTCCCTCTCTCTCCCTCCCACTTAGTCTCGTTTTCCTTTTCTCTCCTTTTAATTTACCCAAAAAGCTTTGCTTTCTTTATCCTTCGATTGATCTTCATAAAACATGAAAAGGGTTGAGGTTGCATGTTATGTGATGTTAATGGCTAAGCCATTGCCATCGTTGGATCTTAAGCGAACAAAAGGCAGGGGATTGGTAATTTGTAGTAAATGAAAAAGGAGAATAAGAAGGTTACCTAGTGTCAATCGATAGTGGGATTGTGGCACTATGGCAGTAAATGAGGAATGACCTTCTGCTTCCTTCAAAGTCACCGTTCTTTGTCCAAACAGAAGAAAATATGAATGTTACAGTGGTTTGTGTTGCCAGAGCTGTGGAGAAATGGGGATGAAAAAAGGGAGTTTCTAGAGAAATTTAAGAAGTGAACGGGCATTCTAGTGGTTTACCTACTGTTGGGCTGTGTATATGTGTTAGGTAAAAAATGTTATAGTGGTTTAAAAAATGATACACGTGTTGGGCATTCTAGTGGTTTATATTGTTAGGAATTTAGTTTGGTTACTTTTTTAAACATGTTATAGTGATTTTTATGATTTAAATTTGAGTTTTAAAAGTATAGTAATATGACTTCTGGTATAATCATTTTATAATGTGTAGGAATGACCTCTGACGATGGTGCAAGAGCCAATTGGAAGGACCCTAAATTAGTGAATTTTTTTTGGATACATGCATTGATCAAGTGAGTATTCTTGAAAAAAATGGAAGGAGCTTAAAAAAAGAATCATGGGAAAATATAGTGAAGGCATTTGAGGAAAAGAAAGGCATTAAGTTTTCTAAAAAACAACTAAAGAATGAGTAGACGTATTTGAAAAAGAAGTACATAGTATGGTCAAAACTAATAGAAAAAAGTGGACATGGTTATGATCCAATGACTAATACCGTCAATTGGACTGCACAAAAGTGGGATGATTATGAACATGTATTATTTCTTTTAGACATTCCATTCCCTAGTAGAGCTTAAACCAATTAATAATATTATTGATTTCATATATTTATGTAACGAAGAATAATGATGTAAAACGGTTTCGTTATGTTAGTTTGTAATTTTCGGATGAGATGAAATCATTATTTAATGGAATTTCATCCATTGGAAAAGATAGTTGGGGTCCTTTTAAAGACACAATGCCTACAAATGGAGTTACTTCTTCTTTGCCAATCGAACCAATTGGAACAAATTTTGAAGAATTTATTGATTTAGGGTCTAATTCTCCAACTCCAAATGATGAAATAAAAAAACTCGAAAAACGTCGGAAGAAGAATAAGGATGATGACATTGATGATCATTTGGTGACGATGCGAAGACATTGGAAGAATCGAAGGACCCAGGTATAGAACAGTGCAATATGAAGTTAGATGAGATGAAGACTTTAAGAATGGATGGCCCTTTATATATAGCTACATGTGCTATATTTTGTGAAATCAAAGCATATCGAGAGCAATGGATAAACCTTTCTCAAAAGCCGGAGGAAGTCGAATTGAATGGATCAAAATGGTTGCTAAAAAGTTGACATTATTTTAATTGAATATTTTTCCTTATGATTTGTGTTTAGTATTTTAGAATAATTTGTTTCATTGTGATTGTCTAGTGTTTTCATAAGAATTATTGTTTGAATAAAAGTACTTTAATTTGAATATCTTTCCTTTAATTAGATTTCTCGTCGGTTTTTTGATACATGCATTTGCTTTTTTTTTTTTTTTATATATATATATAGTTAACAACATGTTGATAGATAGGCAAAAAAAGAGTTTAAGAATTATTTTGTTGCTTCTTATACCGAAAAGAATTAATAGAAGACGTGTTGGAAGAAGACCGGATACGTGATTCGACTCTTGAAGGACAAGCATATATGTTAGAGATTCTTAATGGAAATCCGACTCATCGTCAAGAAATGTTGAGAATGAAAAAAGAAGCATTCTTAAATTTATGTGATTATTTCAAACAAAAAGGATGGTTGAGAGATAGTCGTTATATTAAGGTTGAAGAAAAAATTGCAATGTTTTTGATAACTTTAAGTCAAAATTTTCGAAATCGTTTTGTGAAACGAAGATTTAATCATTTAACTCAACAGATGCATCATTATTTTCATGAAGTGTTGCAAGCAATGTTAAAGTTTGCAAAAGAAATGGTTGTACCTACTTCATTTTACTCGAATTTAAGTCAAGTTCAACATCACCGTCAACTTCGTCAAGTATTTCGGGTTATACATTTAACTTTTTATTTCTAATTTTATTGGTTTACATATTTTAAAATTAACTAAATTTATTTATTTATTTATAGGGTGTTGTAGGTGCCCTTGATGGGACTTTAATTCGTGTCGTTATATCACCCAATCAATAAGTCCCATATAGAGGGAGATGACAAGGAGATTGCTATCAAAATGTCCTTGCAATATGTGATTTTGATATGATTTTTACTTTTGTTTGGGCTGGATAGGAAGGTGTAGCACATGATTCAAGAGTGTTAACGAAACTATCCGTGACTCATCAAATAATTTTCCCATCCCTCCATCTCGGTAAGTTGTTTCATACTTATTAAATTCTTTTTTATAAAAAAATTCCCTTCAAGTTTTTTTTTACGTTATTAGTAGGTGTATTACGTCCAAATGTTTTACATTTTTCATGCAATTTATCATATTAATATTTGATGGCGGATATATATTATCTTTGTGATGCTACATATGCACATACTAGAGGATTTATGGCATCATATCGTAATACACGATATTGGTTATTCAATTTTCGCAATGGCCGTCATCCAAGATTAAAAGAAGAAGCGTTTAATCATGCACATGCAAAATTGAAGAATGTTATTGAACGAGCATTTGGTGTTCTAAAAGCAAGGTTTTCAATTCTAAAGACAATGGCCCCATATCCATTTGTAGTTCAAAGAGATATTATTGTTGCATGTGTTGCAATACATAATTATCTTTGAAGAACAATTGTTATCGATAGCTTTTTTGAACAATTTGATGGCGATTATATGATGCATCAAACATCAAATATTACTCGCAAATTTACCATTTATCGGAGGAGGGGTACAAACACGAGCCGATCAAACATTTATGATTAATTTGCGAGACTAAATTGTAAATGAATTGATTAGTACTTAAGATTTCATTTATTTTATGAATGATACGAAAATTAATGTTATTTTAGATCGTATTTAATTTTTTATTAATAATCATTTTTATTGAATTTTTATTTATTTATTTGTACATGCAAATACATTTATGTATATATTTTTATTTATGTTAAAAAATATCATGTTACAATTATAAGGTTAAAATTATCATATACATAGCCTTAATATGTTCAGCAATAGTACTTATCAAACAAGCTTATTATATTCGGTACTTAATTTTCAGCAAATACCAAACGACTTGTCGGGAATATATTCGATACTTAACGGATTCAACACTTAAAATTCGAGTACTTAATTATTCGGGACTTAATTTTTAGTTTTATCAAACACAATAAATAGGACTATAAACTCATAAAAAGACTTTTATGGGTGTTTCAAATAGTTTCACCATAAACAATATGCAATACAATTGGTCCTAATTCCATCAATAGGAAGGGACAAGTCAAAAATCTACCTAATGAGAGTATATAGCTAAGATTAACTCTATATGACTAGTGATAGTTATAATGTCACTTCACTTTCCCAAAATGAGTCATTCAAAATAATAATAATAAAAAATTATCCCTTGAGTGGACAATAAACACTTGCATAAGAAAATAGACCATTTTGTCCTTTCTTTTTTTACAACGTGAAAAAACCTTTGGTTATATAAATAACATAAAGGTTTATGATTCTAAGTTCTCAATCTCTAAACCGATAATTACTATTCATCATTTTTTAAATACTTGTCTTACTACATACAAGCCAATTCAAACTACCATTTCTCTCAAAGCATTAACTTATATATTAGAGGGTCTTCTTATCTACCAATAAGGATTTGTGTTATAAAAAATAGCAAAAATAAGACAAGTAATAGCATGTAATAATTAAAAGATAAAGCTAAACAAATTATTAATATATAGGATTTAAATGGTTCGATAAATTACTTACTCCACAAGTGAGAGAAAAGTTTTATTAGATTGATAGTAGGAGAATACAAAAATCCCGAAGGCTTACTACAAAGCCTCTATTTTTTACTCGTATTTCCTAAACATAGACATAAAGAGGTTTAAATACCTCATACCTATAAAGGAAAAAAACCTAATGAGCTAAATATATTATTGGCCTATAAAATTCAAGCCACGCACAACAAATTTTCACCTTGGATTGAATTTTGCAAACCTTCAAGAATGTAAAATAATTCCTCAAAACACACCTCTAAGCTTACGTGAGCTAACTCGATGTAAGAAATAAGAGACATGAAGAGAGAAAATATTAACTTCAACATTGGGACTAACAAAATTCCTTCTTTCCAAC